ATAAATATTAATTAATATTTATAATTATTAATTTCTTTAACAATTAAATAAATACAATTTCATTATTCTTGTGTGGTCTTCAAACTTTTCTATGTGGCAATGGGCCGATTAGGAGTAAGAATATATATGTCGAAGCTTCACTTTTGTTAGAGATATTATTGGGACTAGAGTTACGAAAAATATAAATCTAATACCTGCAATGACCTACTAGCTTTTAAAATTCAAAATGTTACTATGATTTGTCTAATTTCTGGTGTAATAATTGTCGTTTGCCAACCAGCAACCACGCAATGGATTGATATTTCATTGGCATGTGAATCTTTTCCTTTCGTTTTTTTGGGTACAAAATCTTTAGCACAGCATTCTGTTGAAATTGATTCCTCATATTCATAATTGGGGCTACCCTACTAGTAAAATCTGCTCCATTAACTACAACTAGATTTTTATATTTTTAATTTTTAATTAAATTGTAAGAGATAATTTTTTTATTTTTTTTATAGATTTAATATTTTAATTTATCACATCCTCATATTATGTCATTCAGGCATAGCATCTATTATTGAGGTAGGTATTATGCTAATTTTTTCATCTATCATTAACTTACACTAAAGATTAAGACATATGTTGGCTTTGTGAGTAATTTATAATCTACAAACTTAATTAACAAACTTAACTAAATCAAAATTTTTAAGCATATGAATATTACAATTAGAGTTGTAAAATAAATAAAATTGAGTTCTTTAAAATTTAAATTTGAACTAATTTAACATGTAATAATAACTTAACTTAATTTGAATAACTTGAATTTGAACTTGACTCATAAGTTTTATTTAGTACTCATTTTATTTAATACTCAAGTTTAATATAAGATTTAGATTAACTAAAATTAAAATTTTTAATTTTGCATATATATTTAATTTTTAATATAATTGAGTCAAGTTAAATTTAAATTATAATTCATATTTAACTCTATTTAATTTTTCGTGGTGAGTTTTCTACTCAAATTTGATTTCAAATAAAGTTGCATCCAACTCGAGTTCAAGTCGGGTAATTTAACTCATTTAACAACACTAATTACACTAACTTTGAAATCTTAATGACGACAAGAAGAATGTCTAGAACTGTAAATTAACAAAGTGAAGGTTGAGGACCAACTTATACTTCGAGTCAAAAATTAAGGACCAAGGAAAGCAATTTAGCTTAGACGGAGAGGAGAAATCACTACATTCGATTTCATCACGATTCACGCGCTAAAG